GGGGAAGATGAATCTTTCTGCTTCCCTTAAAGATTTACAGCCTCGAAGATCCTATACAGGGTAGTTAAAAATGGGAACCAACTCCACGGCACACCACCACCACCACCTGCCTTTCAGATACTAATAGTGGTAGAGGACCTGGTATGGATCTGTAGGATTAGCCCTGGAACTGCTAATCTCAAGGTTGGCGGCTCAAACCCACCAGTTGCTCCTCAGAAACCCTATACAGGTTCCCTATGAGTCGGAACCCACTAGACCACTAGACGGCGCTTAAGGCTGAAGGGTTATGGAGGGATAAGAGCAGAGGTCTCCAGCGGCGAGTTAAGCAGCTGTTTTCACCATCCATGAAATATTAAAAACGTGCTCCGAATGAATGGGTTAATGAAGATACTTCAAAGAAAATGTGAAGATCAAATTGCCTGTTATATTTGTCTCCTTGGAGATTATGGCCCCGGTTTAATACAGACAAGATTGGTGTATTGGTCTACAAGCCCTCCAAGGGGCTGCGGCACGTTTTCTCCCAAAGGTTCCTCTCCTTGGAATAGAGCCACTGCGCTGTCAGACGGCAATTTACAAAGCAGGTTCCGCAGCGCCCCCTCAGGGCGGAACGGTGCCCGCGGGTTACTGACGCAGTCGCCGCATTTTCATTGCACCAAATCCTCCCCGAAGCTTCCTCAGAAGCTCTTCCTCTACACTGTGCAAGTCAGCCTCCATGCTTCCACCAGGAACTCCACAAACGTCTCAGTGCCCTGGGGACCAATGCGTTCGCGGAGCAACCTGTTCCCACCTACCCTTCCACCAGCAGAGACCCACGGCTCGGGGCTGCTGGCCGCCCCCCAACCCCTCAGGGTCCCACAACCTCACCCGCCGCCGCCAACGCCACTCTCTGTCCGGACCGTTGCGGACGGCTCAGCGGAAGAGGTGTACTTAGTCCAATCCGATACCGATCCCTGGCCCGGCATGTCCTCCCGGGTGCTCGGACCGCGCGTGGAGTGCGGGAGCCGCCGACCTTTCCCTCCCCTCAGCTCCCTTCCTACGTCAGGCAGACAGCTATCCCGGTGAACACGCGGACGCAGGAGTCTCGCCCCCTCCGAGGAGGTTCGGACACTGCCCGAAGAGCTTCGGGAGAGCAGGGCGAGCAGATCGCGATCCAGGTGCTACAGTGGGGTAGGGGCGGAAGTGCCTCAGTTGATAGTGCTTTTGCACGTTTGCATCTTTTCGTGAAAAGGATGCGTCACGGGAAGGAAAGATACATGCTCTTTACAACAAGAGGCGGCTTCCATTTCGGCATTCCAGACCTTTAACAAATTTGCCAAGCATTCGCATGGAAACCCAGAACTAAAGCACCCAGCGCAAAGGATGCTGAGAGTTATCGGCAAACCGTTATCACCAACGCAACCAGCGTTCTCGGGTATCCTAGCCACAGATTTTTGCTACCGCTCCTGCGCACGCGCAATCTAAACTCCACTGCGAGGGTTTAGGCGTTTTCTTACGATGCGTTTTGGTATGAGCGGCTCGCCGTAGTGGGAGGTGTGGCAGAATGAGAAATGCAATAGAAGCTTGGATTGTGGTTGGTTTGCCCGTAGTGTTCCCGGAACTCAGTGGGCGTCGCGTGAAGGCTGAAGAGGAGCGTGGTGATCTTGTTAACGGTGTTGTGTGGCGGGCGCTTGGAACCGGAGGGTCGTTATGCCCCGGTATGCGCAGCTGGTCATGGGCCCCGCAGGTAGTGGGAAGGTGAGCATTTAAAAGAGTGCTGTTTGTGAGGGTCCGGGAAGGTCGGATTCTGAGGTATGGGTCGGATTTTTTCCGAAATCCTAGGCAACTCGCTTGGACTACTGGTATGGCACTTTTAAGATAGGTACTTGAATGCTAACCACGAGGTTGTCGGTTCAAACCCAACAGCTGCTTTTCGGAAACCCTAGCCAGGGCCCTGTGAGTCGGAACGGACTCGGCAGCACTTAACAACAACAGGCAACTCACTTCTTTCTTTAGAAAGGGAAGTAGTAATAGTTGCTGGAATCCTGATGTGGCGCTGTGGGTTAATGCACTAAGACTGCAAAGTCGTTTTGAACTGCAAGGTTGGTGGTTCAAGCTCACCAGTCACTCCTTGGAAACCCTTTAGAGGTTCGCTATGGGTCGGAACCGACTCGAAGGCACTTAACAACAACAACAAAATAATTGCTAGGATGTATCGAGTACTTTTGCCCCCAGTACTGCCCCAAATGCCTCATTGGTTTGCTGCAAGAGCTTAATGAGATTGGTCCTATTTTCATTTTGTAGAGAAGGAAAACCCGGCACAGAAAGATTACGTTATTTGCCCAAGATCACACTGCTAGGCAGTGACGGCTGGGGTTGGAAACCAGTGTTGTCTAGCTCCAGACCTAGGCCCTTCCTCATTCGCAAGAGATCGGAGTGCCGTCTCGTCTCCCAGTGTTTCTCCGAGCATAGTTTTGGCCTCAGTGGATCCTGCCTCAAGAGGGTTGGAGATTCTTTTTAGGGGATGGGGGTAGCCCTGATGATGTGCTATAACTCCTCGGGCCTGTGACATTGCAGAGCACCTACTGTACCACCATGGTCCAGCACTGCGAAGCCCTCAATCGATCTGTCCAAGTTGTGAATCTAGATCCCGCAGCAGAACACTTCAACTACTCTGTGATGGCTGGTGAGTCTTGAGCAGAGCCCTGGTTCGCTGCCAGGGCCAATCGAGGGAGGGGCAGACGGAATTAGTGCTGGCTGTTCACAGGGAAGGCGAGAAGTTAATTCTTCCAGTTTGATCCCTGCTTACCAAAACGTGGTTTCAGACCCACTAACTGGAAAGGTGAAATGCCTTTGGGATATCTACTGAACTCTGATAGCGTAGGGGTTACAAATCGGGCTGCTAACCTCAGGGTCAGCAGTTCGAAACTACCAGCTGTTCCACAGGAGAAAGATGAGGCTTTCTGCTCCTATAAAGATTTACAGCTTCGGAAACTCTGTATAGGGTTGCTATGAGTTAGAACTGACTCCACAGCACATAACAACCTCTTATGAGGTAGTGTCTTGGTTCTTCAGGAAAGCATTAAGAGTAGCTGAAATCATCACTCTTCTCTTCTCCTTTAATGCAGTATGCTGTATAGTATACTGAGGACCACACTACAAGTGAGCAACCTAGGGTTCATTTATTCATCCAAATGTCTTTATAATGTACTTTATGCCAGATTCCAGAATTATAGCGGGAAACAAGATGATCCTTTCCCTACCCTCATGGAACAATTGGTGGGATAGATATATAATAAATAAAATGATAAACATATTATGATTGTGTTAAGGACTGCAAGCAGGGTGATGTGAAAGAATAGAGGACGTAGCTTCAGGTAGCATGGGCAGGGACAACATCTCTTAGATGTTTAAGCAGGTTTTCTGTCTCTCAGTCTTTTTATCTTACTTACAGACCAGCTTTCTCTACTTGGAGATGCACTTGACCCAACTTGAGAGTCACATCACTCTACGTCAAGTGTCTTACACACTCACTAGTATTCTTGTTGCATCCTTTTAGGAGACCTGTTTTATTGCCCCAATTTGGGTTGTTGTTGTTGTTGTCAGGTGCCATCGAGTCGGAACCGACTCATAGCAACCCTATGCACAGCAGAACGAAACAATGTTCGATCCTGGGCCAACCTCACTACCGCTGCCACACCTGAGTCCATCAATGATGCCACCTGGCTGATCCATCTCGTT